CAGCACAGAAATATGGACATAATCAGACCGCTAGGGAGGTTAAGAAAAGATGGAGGCCAGCACTATGGTATTCTTCTTCTAGAAATGCCAAGTCCCTGGCCATCATCCTAAATCTGACAGCTTCAGTACTTTCCTAATCATGCCACTACCCAATACACAGCATTTTTTCTTCTTTGGGACTGAATGGTGTCAGCCCTGCTTGGTATGTTTTTGGTTAACTGCTGAATCATGGCCCTTCTTCTCATCTCCACAACAGCACTTATTATTCTGTAGTCTAGGATCAAAAATGGGGGGGGGGGGGCGCCAATCACACTCCTTTTATACCACAGGAAGTGTGCACAGGACAGTTCTATATTTCTAAAGAGGTCAATAGGACTTTTTTGCACTTCTAGAACAGATATAACAAAATGCTCCCATTGGTAGATTTTATGGACCAGAAGGTTGAGATTGTTAGGGATTATATACACTCAAGGGGGAGCTACGACTTAACAATGCACCCCAGGTTTGGGGGTACTACATTTTCTATAAGATACATGAGAGTTCCTCCAAATCTATATTTTATTTGTGCTCTCAGTATGATGTGACCAATGACATTGACCTACTAGGGCCATGTGGACATATTAGGTCAATGATGGCCGCAGCTGATTGGGCCGGAACTGACATCTTCGTTCTGTATTTGGCCAAGCATGGATTTAAACCAAAACCCAAGTCCATGCCTAATTCCCATACAAACAAGACTTGCCTGTTACATTTAAATTCGGACAGGATTTACCCATCATCATTCAAAACAACGGAGAGATTCCAGTTATACTCAAGACTCGCCCACCATCTGCCATGATGCACAGTGGGGAATTCTTCTTTGAATTCCTTCATAATTAGCCCCTCAGACTCACAGATAAAGACTTTTGACTTCATCCTAATTCACAGTGAGACAACAACTAAAGCAACTAAATATATAGGAAGGTGGTTAGCAATGGTAGAGTTTTGTTATAACAAAAAAAGTTTCCTATTCTACTCAAGGCAAGCGGTCTTCAAATGGCAGCCATTTGCTTGGCTTCATATAGCCTTTGGGGGCACTATTCCTCCTACTGCCACCGATGATGGGGCATTATTCCTCCCACTGATACCAACAATGGAGCACTATTTCCCCCATGGACACCAATGATGGGGCACTATTCCTCCCACTGATACCAACAATGGAGCACTATTCCTCCATGGACACCAATGATGGGGCACTATTCCTCCATGGACCTTAATGATGGGGCACTATTCCTCCTACTGCCACCGACAATGGGGCACTATTCCTCCCACTGATACCAACAATGGAGCACTATTTCCCCCATGGACACCAATGATGGGGCACTATTCCTCCTACTGCCACCGACAATGGGGCACTATTCTTCCCACTGATATCAACAATGGAGCACTATTCCCCCACTGACACCACAATGGGCAATTTCCTCCTACTACACCAATGATGTGGCAAGATTTCTTCCACTTACACCAATGATGGGGCACTATTCCTCCCACAGACACCAACAATGGGGCACTATTCCTCCCACAGACACCAACAATGGGGCACTATTCCTTTCACTGACACCAGTGATGGGGTGCACTATTCCTTTCTACTGACACCATTGGTGTAGCACTATTCCTCCCACTAACACCAATGATGTGGCATGATTTCTTCCATTTACCCCAATGGTGGGGCACTATTCCTCCCATGGACACCAACAATGCAGCACTATTCCTCCCACTGACACCAACGATGGGGCACTATTCCTCTCACAGATACCAACAATGGAGCACTATTCCTCCCACTGACACCAACGATGGGGCACTATTCCTCTCACAGATACCAACAATGGAGCACTATTCCTCCCACTAACACCAATGATGGGGCATGATTTCTTCCACTTACACCAAAGATGGGGCACTATACCTCCCATGGACACCAACAATGGGGCACTATTCCTCCCAGTGATGCCAGCGATGGGGCACTATTCCTCCCACTGACACCAACGATGGAGCACTATTCCTCTCCCTGACACCAGTGATGGGGTGCTATTCCTTCTACTGACACCAACAATGGAGCACTATTCTTCTCACTAACACCAATGATGGGGCACGATTTCTTCCACTTACACCAATGGTGGAACACTATGCCTCTCATGGACACCAACAATGGGGCAATATTCCTCTTCCTCACAGATACCAACAATGGAGCACTATTTCTCCCATGGACACGAACGAAGAAGGCATTATTTCTTCCCCTGACACCAATGGTGGAGCACTATTCCTCCCACTAACACCAATGATTGGCACGATTTCTTCCACTTACACCAGCGGTAGGGCACTATTCCTGCCACGTACACCAACAATGGGGCACTATTCCTCCCGCCAGTGATGTGGAGCTATTCCTTTTACTGACACCAATTATTATTATTATTATTATACAGTATTTATAAAGCGCCAATAGTTCGCTCAGCGCTGTACATTACAAAGGGGGACAGAACATGTGACAGAACATGACCAATGATGGGGCATTATTCCTTCTCCTACTGACCAAACCTGAGGCATTGTTTTTTCCCTGATGCTGGGCCACATTCCAGCCCCCTAAAGTTTTAGGTTTGAAAGTTTGGAGACCCCTGCTCAAGACTTTAAAAAATAGTTTTTCTAATTTCTTTGTATAAAATATTGCATATAACTATTTCATATTTAGCACTCAGCGAGAGCATGGCAGCAAGGCTAGTACTGCAGAGTTTAAGAACACCCATTTACTACTATGCTGTGATTAGCCTGTTTTGACAGAATACCTGAACACTAGAATATCAGATTACACACACAGCTGACATCAGAGATGGGACACACCCCTCCGTAGAGGAGATGATGCCCATGTGGTGTTTGCATCTAAAGAAGCGTTTGGGAAGTGCATCGTTCATGGTTGCCATTCCTATTTGAAAGCCCAACATACACGTCAGACACCCTGCCTTATATGTTTATTTGCAAAGTAACAATAGGAATTATACACATTAAAAATATATAGAACATCAGGTTATAACCTTGTAAATTTATAAAGGAATAAAAAAAAAAAAAAAAAAAATATATAATTTTAATTTAATGTTAAAAAAGCTTCTCAACCCACCAATCTCCACCTATAACCGTCATCTCATTTTTCTGTAATTGAATTGTGTGGTTTTTTTTGTTCACTAGTAGATTTTACTCCATGCCTTGAGTTGTTTCATAAAATGTGTGTTTTTCCCCTGTAATTGCCATGAAATATGGTACAGTCCAGGCTATGCCCCTCAGTGTTACAAGATGCATTTAATCTCGGCGACCATATGGAAGGCATTAGGTCTTCCTGTGCCATGGCTGAGGACTCTGTGACTCTACACATGTGCTGGAACATTACCTGCTGCTTCTGTGATTCAGATAGGGACTTCTGCATGCTACATATTCCTGGAAGAAAGGATTTAGTATGGGATGTGATCACAGATGGCCTTATTCTTCTTTTTGCCGTTATTTAAAGAACACCTGTTCTCACAGGAAAGTATCTAAACCAGCCTGAGTCAACGACTCAGACTATTTCCCCCAAACAATTCAAGGAGTTGTACGCCTTCCAATGGATTGTGTTTTTATTTTATATAACAGAGGCTATAGAGCAGCCTTTCCCAACACAGAGGAGCCCTTGAAATAACTTTCCAACCCTGCTAAAAATGACTATAGCTACAACTGATGATACATTAGTGTGATGGTCAGCGGCAGGATAGCTCCTTACACTTGTGGTCATTGGGAAGAATTCCCCCCTTACAGAGAGCTAAAAGGATCAATGGTGTCACTGGGAACTTATCTGAGAGGCAGAAATTGCTTATTGCTCAAGAAACCCCTAGCAACCTCTGAAGGAACTCTAGGGTTCCACATCAACCCTGGTTGAGAAACCCTGGTATAAAGGAATAGTAAGGCTTTGCTTGGTTTCATGCTAGCTCAACGAGGCTGATTCAACCTTACAGAGTGTCAGGAATGGACTTGCCAATAGTGGTGGGACTCACCTGCCTTGTGGGCTGCAGTACCAGGGCTGGCCAGTGGGTGCTCTCAACAACCAGAGGTTCACTTCGGCAATTAGCCATCACCTGGGGCTGATTGCAGGTGTATTTAAGGGATGGCCAGACCTGCAGTCTGTGCCTTGGTGTGTGTTTTTCCATGGGCCCCTGTATCTTGTAACCTGCATTCCTGTTCCTGCCTGACTTGTTGCCGACCCTGCCTGATCCTGACCTCTGCTGACTTCTCCTGTTTGATCCCTGGCTTGTGACCCTGACCATTCTCTGCCTGACCCCCTGTACCTACCTGTCCGTTAGTTGCTGTACCCGGCTCGTGACCTGACTACTCTCCGCCTGCTCCTCCTCTACCTACCTGCCCGATAGTTATCGACCCGGCCTGCCTGACTACATTCTGCTCTATATGTGTATGTACCTGTGTATCTATATCAGTTTAGGTTTGGGTTTGTTTCACCTTGTTGTATGTATTTGTGTTAGCTTGGGGTTTGGTGCACTGCGTTTATATTTGTATTGTTAGTCTTAATAAATTGTCTTATTTATACCATATCTGAAGCTTGCGTTTCTCTGTGTTAGTCCACACACTTCTGGTCACACCTCCATCCCTGACACAGAGTCCATTCAAAATTGTAATATTTGTTCTGGGTTGAGCGATCCTTATAATGTTGAAAAATTGGCCCAAGTGAAATACAGGCACTCTTAACTACCTGCCGACCGCAGATAGCCGAATGACGGCTGCACTGCGGCCGGCCAGTTCTGAGTGGATGTCATATGACGTCCTCCCAGAACGCGCTCTCCTGCGCGCCCCAGGGGGCGCGCACCCGGCGATCTCCGTGATCGCTGTGTCCTACGGACACAGCTGATCACGTGATGTGGTAAAAGGCCAATCACAGCGGCCTTTTACCACGTGATCAGCGGTGTCCAATGACACGCTGATCAGAGGGAAATGCAAGTGCCGGTTCTCGGCTGCACTTTTCTCACGCTGTCAGATCGTGAGGAAAGTACTGCCGAGAACCGGCAGTTGTCAGAGCGGGGATCGGCACCGATCATCAGGGCACTGATGATCAGTGCCCTGATGATCGGTGCCCAGCAGTGCCACCCGCAAGTTCCGCCCACCTGTGCCCAGCAGTGCGCCCACTAGCTCCGCCCACCTGTGCCCAGCAGATCACCCACCTGTGCCCAGCAGTGCACCCACCTGTGCCCAGCAGTGCACCCACCTGTGCCACTCTGCAGTGTCACACACCTGTGCCCAGAAGTGCCACCTACCTGTGCCCACCAGTGCCACCCACCTGTGCCCACCCACCAGTGCTGCCCACCAGTGCCACCCACCAGTGCAGCCCAGCAGTGCTGCCAGTCAGTGCCACCAGTCAGTGCCCAGGGGTTGTGCCAGTCAGTGCCGCCAGTCAGTGCCCAGCAGTGATGCCAGTCAGTGCCGTCTATCAGTACCCATCATCAGTGTCACCTATCAGTGCCGCCTATCAGTGCCGTCTATCCGTGACACCTCATTAGTGCTGTCTATCAGTGCCGCCTATCCGTGCCACCTCATTAGTACTGCCTATCAGTGCCCTTTAGTGCTGCCTATCAGTGCCCATCAGTGCTGCCTCATCAATGCACATCAGTGAAGGAGAAAAAATGCCTGTTTGAAAAATTTTATAATAGAAACAAAGAAACTTTTTTTTTTTTCAAATTTTTTACACTTTTTTTATTTATAGCGCAAAAAGTAAAGCGCCCAGTGGCGATATTAAATACCACCAAAAGAAAGCTCTATTTGTGAGAAAAAAATGATCAAAATTTCATATGGGTACAATGTTGCATGACCTCGCAATTGTCAATCAAAGTGCGGCGGTGCTGAAAGCTGAAAATTGGCCTGGTAAATAAGGGGGTATAAGTGCCTGGTAGGCAAGTGATTAATCTACTATCACCTCAAAACCAACTGCTGTAATCAGGGCCAAGGGGGTTTGGCGCACTTTGGCGTCTTTGCCTTGGGTGCTGAAGGTTCTGGTCTCAGCACTGGTTCTAATAGACCAGCCATGGAAATTTGCAAGCTGGTTCACTCCTCTGATTTCTGGCACATCACAACTGGCCCTTCATTGTGATGGACCAATCTGTGTGATCAATATCAAGTCCAAGGAGTGTTCAGGACAGCTTTCAACTTTCCTTCCTAATGTTGAGATGTGCCTACTGTATTAGAGGGCTCTGGGGTTTACAATGCAAGCAAGTAGAGCACATTTAAATTCATAGGCCAGTTACATGCAAAGCCCTTTGTATGTTATGGTTCACTGTCACTGGAGTTTACGGTGGGCTGAGGCCTGTCTCCACATCCACATCCACATGTGACCACATGTCCCAACTCTAGGCCAATCAGCAAGCAATGGTGCTTTCACATAAGAGAAAATAAAGTTTGTCACATGCTACTCCATACCTTGAAGTATGCTTTAAAATAAACCCCTCATTACTCTGTATGTGCAAAACTGCAATTCATGCTTGGTTCTGCCCCTTCTGTCTCCCCTTCCTGACCAGAGCTTTTTGAAGCACAGATGTCCAAACCAGGTTTAGCAGCATCGGTTACCTTGACTAATTTTTCATAGTAGCTTTTCAAATATTGTAGAAATGTGCAAAACCTGGGTGGTCCTCCTGGAAGCTGGAAAGCACGGTGGTAGGCACCACTATTCCTGTGATCTCCACTAGCTTCCGTGTCCTTTGCCAGGTGGCTTCTCCGCTGCATTCTGTACACAAGAAGACCCTTGCATGGGCGCCATTGACAGAGCACTTTGCATTTTCTCAGTGAATGCAAAGCATTCTCTTGTGGGGCAAGGTGTAAAGGCAGGGCGGTGATGTCATAATCACTACCCTGCCTAATTAGAGAACACCTTGCATTCATTGAGAAAATATTAAGTGTTTTCTGAATGGAGCCCATACTGAGAAAGTTTGGTACCCCCTGTTTTCAATAGGTAGCAAGGAGGCCACTCAGCACCGAACCTGGAAGCTAGTGGAGATGACTGGAGTAGTTGTGCCTTCTACAGTTATTTCCACCTTCCATGGGGATCCCACAGGTATGGCACATACACGCACCGGCCACTTTATTAGGTACACCTTGCTAATGCCAAGAAAATATTCCCTACACCATTACACCACCAGCCTGAACTGTTTATACAAGGCAGGATAGATCCATGCTTTCATGTTGTTTACACCAAATTCTGAATCTACCATCTAAATGTCACAGCAACCAGTCTGCCCATTCTCCTCTGACCTGTGACATCAACAAGGCATTTTCATCCACACAACTGCCACTCACTGGATATGTTCACTTTTTCTGACCATTCTCTGTAAACCCTAGAGATGGTTGTGCGTGAAAATCCAGGTAGATCAGCAGTTTATGAAATACCCAAATCATCCCATCTGGCACCAACAATGCCAAGTTCAAAGTCACCTAAATCCCCCTTTTTTCCCCATTCTGATGCTCGGATTGAACCACGTCTACATGCCAAAATGCATTGAGTTTCTGCCATGTGATTGGCTGATTAGCAATTTGTGTTACTAAGCAATTGAATAGCTGTACCTTTTAAAGTGGCAGGTGAGTGTACATACTTACACTTGTCCAAGCTGGGCTAATGTAACTATGGAAAAACTGCCATACCTAAACCTTGACTTCAATGTTTTTTAGGTCAAGAGGCATTTTTTGTGTTGATTTAAAAAGGAGCATTATATCACAAAGGAGTTATTATGATGAACCGCCTTGTTTTCCAATAGATGGCCTGGGATTGGGTGGGCCAAGTCCAACTTTTACAGGAAATGTTGAGATTTGCACATACTGTACCTTCAGCTGTCTGTATCTATAGATCTATTAGTCATTTGACATGTGGTTTTCGAATAAGGTGATTATGTCATTTTAGTTATATTACTGTTAAGAAGTGCCTGGGTTTTGTGCTGGTTTATTTTGGACAGAGTGGTTAAGGGATCCATATCCACATTGGTGAGATTTCACCTATTTCCTTACGAGACAGGAAATTCTTGAAAACCTTTACAGTGGGGACACACTGCATCAAAATAGTTTTGGCTCAAGTAAAGGTATAGGCTGACTTCCCTTTATGCCTGAGTATTACCAAGCATACAGCCCTTGACATGTCAGTAATTTGCATTGTACATACAATTTAGGGCTATCCCATTAGTTCATAGGGGGCCCCCAAGGCATGTTAGTGAAGTAACCAAGGCGGCTAACCCTTAGAACAGTGGTTCTCAACCTTCCTAATGCCGCGACCCTTTAATACAGTTCCTCATGTTGTGGTGACCCCCAACCAGGGGGCAAAAGGGGATCATGGGGCCCCTGTGTCCTTGCCCAAACTCAAAAAAGCCTATGAAAAAGGTACCAGGAGCATCTCATGGGGCCCCCCACTGACCCCGGGCCCTTGGGCAGTGCCCTAGTTTCCAAATGGTCAGTCCGCCCCTGCCTCCAACCATAAAATTATTTACCCAGTAATTATAATTCATGAAGTGTCGTTTTACCTCCAATACTGCTGCTTTCTACACAGTAGCTGCTTTCTACACAGTAGCTGCTTTTAACAGAGTAGCTGCTTTCTACACAGTAGCTGCTCTTACACATTGGAAATATGTGTTTTCCGATGGTCTTAGGTGACCCCTGTGAAAGGGTTGTTCGACCCCCAAAGGGGTCGCGACCCACAGGTTGAGAACCACTGCCTTAGAACATTGAATGTTGCATGGGAGCAAACCCCTGGAATGGTTAACTTTGGGTTTACCAAAACTGGTGTCTCTTGTGGTAGTCGTAAACTGTGTTGCGCTCTTTGGCTGTGGGCGCCCAAACCCAACGTGGAATCCATCTCCTCCCTCAATATACAGGCTTTAAACATTCAGGTTGCAATCCGCTGAAGTTTTTTCTTTCAATCAGCTTTATTGCAGCAGTAAAATGGCTTTTATTGTACAGTTTCTCTCTCCCTGACTTTTTCTGATGTATTTGACCCCTGGCCTGGTCTTAAACTGGCCATACGCTTGATTGAAGTTCGGCCGGTCTCTGCAGGGTGTGTCAGTCCCTGCTTGACAGAAGTCAATTGTCTGATTGACTTTTGTTGAAGTCAACAAAGGACATATTGAAAAACATATTGAAGGACATATTAGAAAACATCTAGATCAGTGGCTGCAGCCGCTGATCAGTGTATTCTGACAGCAGCGGGAGTCACTGTCAGAATACAACGTTCCAGGTTGGGGAGGGGGGGATTCCTCCATCCACCTTGTTTGTTTGGAGCCCACTGGCTGAACAAAAAAAAAAAAACCTAACAGTATATGGCCAGCTTTGATCATAGAGATTCCTATGACCAATACTCAGCTAGGGGTGAAATGCGTCAGACGAGTCATGTCTGGTGGGAGCGACAATGCATTGCAAGTCTTGTTACAACCTAAATGTTTGTTGAGGGTAAACTCTTTGAGGGTACTTTTGTTGATGAATAAAAGTGACCAGGATCCTTAAAACAGAGAGAGCAAAGTCTGTCAAAACTCTCCATTTGCAGCAAAATCTCAGTTTCTTTGCATTGAAGCTCGTAGGAAATGAATGAGCTGCTGCAATGCAATGTAATGCAAGATGACGCATCAAAAAATCAAGCAAAACATGCAGATGGTCCTTTTTGGAATAAAAATGCCGGCACCCCCCATTCCAGGAGCGGCAATGATTTTCTGGCTTGGGTATGTCACTCTTTAGAACGGTGTAAGGATGATTACTGACAAAGTCTGGCCGTACACTGAAATATACATGAGCAGGAGGATAAAGGGGAGAGGTGGCTCATTAGCATCTTGCTGTTTATGAGTGTGCAGAGGACAGGAACTGCCGCTCTCCAGTATATGCGTGATAATGACCTCCCTGTTATAAATAATAAGGTTATTAGGAATCACAGAGGAGTTCAAAGGCGCAGAGCAATATATCTCATTTATACAGCACTGACACGTTCCATAATGCATCACAGAGGACATTGTACCTTTCACATTAGGCTATGCCGCCGGAGGAGTCACAGACAAACACACGGGGGCAAATGTATCTACCAATTTGCAGAAGGAATCCTGTACAAGCACACAAAGCACATATGGTCTGCAGTACGTTTATGTATGTTGGCAGTTATCAGTATGGGACATGATTGGGCATTTAGTAGTTGGCTCATTTTTATGGTGGCTTTCTCTGTGAATCCTTGGCACTGGTTTCCTTTGGTGGTATTCCTGGTTCTTGCCCTGGTTCATGGCTCTGGGCTGCACTGCAAATTCCCCTCTCGTTTCCAACACGCTATTGTATCTTGCCTGGAGGACCATTGCTGAGCATGCATGGTCATTGGCAGTCCTTTTTGTGTGCCCCTTTTAGGGACAAACTCAAGTAAAATACTTTGTTAGTCCATAAATGTGATTGTTGCTGTGTTTTGGGTTGACTTTTGTTGCTGACC